AGTAGTTATTTAATAACTCTTCTATAGTAATCTATAATGTAACTATATCAAAAATTACTAATAAAGATATGAGCAAGGCCTCACCTTAAAACCAAAAAAAAAAAAATAAATAAATTTGCTTAACCAGAAATACTAATTAGAAAAAAACTAAAAAATTCATTACCTTCTATTAATATCTTTCAATCTTCTTTATATGCTAGAAAATTACCCAAAAATCATTTGTCTAATTTTTTCAAATACTAAAATTACAATTCAGATATTATATATATAACTTGCTGCGATTTCTGTAAAAGCTATTGTTGTCTCTGATCATGATTTGTCTAATAAAGTTAAAAATATTAGTAACAAATTTGATTAGAAAAAAAGAGTTAAAATCTTGTATAAATATATCAGATAATCTATTAAATATTTAATATAAATATATTAGATATCTATTGGATATTTGATATAAATATATCAGATACAGTCTAACCTCCCTAAGTGCACCCTCTCTAAGTGCACATCCTCTCTAAATGCACACCATGACTCAGTCCCAATGTCAGGACTTAGAACTAAGTGCACACCCTCTATATTCTGCACGTGCAAGAGATTCTTAGTCCTGAACCTATGCATGCACCCTCTATAAGTGCATACATATAATACTGACCAATCATAATAGAGAATTATTGTATAAGTTATATCACATAGCAATTGTTCTTTTTTTTTTTAATAAAGATAACATCATCCCCATTGGTACTAGAAGTTTATTAAGAATAAAATTAATAATCTTTAACACTTTTATTATTATAAATGTAACTGATAGCAAAATTAATAATGCAGTAAAAGTACTCTGCCAGAATCTCTCACTGTGATAATTTTTTTTTTTTTTAAAAAAAAAAAAAATTCATCGGTTTTATACGTATTTCAAAAATTATTCATAATCGATTTCAAAAGCTATACTTTAATTGAGCTATGGAACTTTAAAAAAAACTTTATAAAAGACTATAACAAATATGATTTGAGCATACAAACCATCTATTATTCAAGACCTCAGTATAGTTTAGTTGGAAAATCAATTTAAAGTGATTAATTGAGTGAACCTGCATTTTTTTACGATTTTATTTTTTATTTTTCTATTACATATTTTATGATAAATATTCCCATTTTTACAATCTAAACCTATATTCACTAGAATGAGTTCTCTTATATTTTTATTTTATACTATTGAAAAAATTATTCAATAGTAATCAATTAAAAAATCATGCTGAAGTACTAAATATCACACTAAAATAATTTCAATGAGATTCCAAATTTATTATATGTATAAAAGTATTAAAAAAAAAAAAAAAAAAATGTCTTCCAAAAAAATTACATTAACTAATACCCAAAAGACCGCACTTTGTACTTATGCTCGTGATAATAAGATGACTCAGGCTAAGTATATTGATTGGATAGAAGAACAGTAGGTGTTAGAATTGACGAAAGCACAGTTTCAAGAATTTTAAAAACTGGCAAAAAACAACTTAACTCTGATGTTTTCAACTCTAACACAAAACACCATAGATCTGTCACTGTTTCAGAGGTTGAGCTTGCACTAAAGGAGTTTGTTTTAAATTATCAGTACAAAACAATCCTAAGTGATGCTATGTTGGTTAAGAAAGCAAAGTTGCTTGCTGCTGGGTTGGAGATTCCAGAAGAAACTTTATAATTTTCTTCTGGTTAGTTGCAAAAATTTAAGAAACATAATAGCATTCGGCAAATAAAACTCCAAGGTAAAGCTGCATCTGCAGACAATGCCACTATCCTTAATGCTTTACTATTGATACAATTTAAATGTGCTGGTTATCCCCTTGATAGAATATATAATATAGATAAAACTGGGCTTTTTTATCGATTGGAACCAGATCGTACGTTGGCAACCCATCGTATTGCTAGACACAAAGTGGATAGAGAACGTATTTTAATTGCACTATATGCAAATGCAGACGGCTCACACAAACTAAACCCGTTAGTAATTAGCAAATACCAAAAACCAAGATGCTTTAAAAATATAAATCTTAAAAACATGCCATTCATGTATCAGAACAATGCCAAAACTTGGATGATTACAATAGTTTTTCAAGACTGACTCAAAGAATTTGATCACCAAGTTGGGTTAAGACATAATGATCAATCTATAATTTTGCTTTTAGATAAGTATTCTAGTCATAAGCTTGATTTTTTAAATCTACAATATGTAGATGTTCATTTTTTACCTGCAAATGCAATCTCAAAAATTCAACTGATGGATGCTAGAATAATTATGAGTTTCAAAAAGCACTATCATCATTGTCATATCACCTGGATGTTGCAACAAGTAGAGGAAGGTAATCGAGCAGAAGACTTAAAAATGAATATTTTACAGTCTATTCGATATACTATTTAAGCTTGGAAGAAAGAAAGGCTAATACTATTCAAAATTGCTAGCGGCATACTAACATTCTCCCTACAAGCTTTAATGCAGACCTATAAAATCTTTCTGAAAACATTAATTAAATTGTTGATTCTGAGATTGATGATCTTGCTACAATGATTGAAAATCTTTATTTTTCGGATCCTATGCAAGTTGAGGAGTTTCTATCTATCCTTAATGAAAATATTGCCTATGAAATTCCTGATGATGATCATGCTATTTCAGAGCTTATAGAAATTTTTAAGAAAAGTAATGATATTGAAGATTCAGATGTTATAGATATAGATGAAACGGATAATAGCCTGGAGATTCCTATGATCAGTGCCGATTCCACTCTTGAAGGTTTGGAAACTACTTATATGTATCTGTTACAGCAAGATAATATAAGCGAGCAATTAAAATTAGTAGATAAAATCAAAAAAAATGATTAAAAAAAAAAGTAAGCACAATGAAGTAATCAAAAATTAATCAGTATTTTAAATAGGATATTAAATTAGTGTTGAAAAAATGAAAATAAGGCATTTATTTATCATCAAAATCTACAAAATCAGATGAAAAATAATGCATTGATTTGTTATCATAAATCTGAGAAAAGCAGTTATCTATTCGAAGTATAATCTTAGACATTAATATCAAAAAAAAATTCACTTTAAAAACTTAAAAAAAAATTTTTTTTAAAAAAAAAAAACAAAAAAAAAAGTAAAAAAAAAAAATCATACAAAAAAAACTTAAGATAAGTAAATTTTAGCTAAAAAGGTGGTTTGATGCTATAAAAATTTGTTTGAATGAACTATCCAAAGAACTTATCATATAGCATTGAATATAGATTTTTTTTCACAGTATTCATCAATAGAAAACAGAATTTGGATATATAATCTTGGAATAACATAGGCTTTTATAATTGGGTCAAAAGTTATTATTTTACAAGAATCAGAGAATATAATTCTTGTGTGATATATTGCTTTGTTTCAATTTTTTTGAAATAAAGTATTTGAAATTTTTCTATAAAAATAGAAAGTAGTATATTATTGTATATATATATATACATCTTGCAAATCCTAACCAAATAATAATAAAAGCGGTCAATATGTAAATGATTAAGATAGATAATTTGATTGGCCCATAGTCACATGACGAATCTATAAAAATCTGTAAATACATACCCTCTCTAAATACATGCTTTTGCCTGGTCCTAAGAGCATGCACTTAGGGAGGTTTAACTGTAATTTATTAGATATCTGATATATATATGCTGATAAAATTATTTTAAATTTCAGGATACCAAATTAAAATTTGAAGATGAAATTGGTTTTGATCTATTTTACTTAAAAAACAAAATTTTTTGACAATTTTTTTGAAAAGACGAAATTATAAAAAACATAATTATCTAAATTAGATTTGCTCTTGCATATAAAAAATTTTAAATTGTTCTAATAGAAATAAAATAGGGTTTTTTTGAAAATCTATTTCGATAGCATATATAATCTGATATAAATATATCAAATATCTAATAAATATCTGATATAAAAATATTAGATTATTCGATTAATTCTATTTAAATATCTGATCTAATAAAATAAATATTCAGATATAGTAATATAGATAAATAGATAGCAGATTAATCTAGATTAAAACTCTAATCATTACTCTTATCCTAATATCAAAACAAATAAACTTTTGTTTAAAAGTTTATATATTATATCTAATTATATATTATAAATTATCGGTAATAATTACTAGTAATGATTTGCAGTAATTTTCTAAAGTTTATAAGTAATTAATATATTTTTATTAGTAAAAACTAGAAAATATCTATTTCTACTACAGATATTTGCTATTTTCACTATATTGCTATACTTTTTATATAACTTTTAGTTATATGAATATAATAGATATATTGTTATAATAAATTATATTAAATTGTAAAAATATTTTTTAATTTATATCAATTATTAATTGATAAATATTATTTTTTTAACTTAAAAATAACAGGTTTAAAAAACTACCATAAAATTATATTTATATAGCTAAAAGTTAAATAAAAAATAGAATAAAAATAGCAAATTTTTATAGCAAAAATAGATATTTCTAAAAACTATTATATAGTATAAATTTATTATTTCAAACCTCTCGAGATAAAGATTTGTATGATCATAAAGAGAATTTTATTAAGAAGTGCTTATAAAGAGGTTTTTCTATATATCTATAATAGTTGGTTTTAAAATAAATATACTTATAAAGAGAATTTTTATATAATATGCTTATATAAAGGGTAACTATAAGGAGGTTTGACTGTATTTTACAACAAACTATCTTTTTTTTTATCTTTAACTTGACAAAATTTATAATTAATTATTTAAAAAAATTATATATATAGCTTTATCAATACAATAACCAGAATAAATATAGTGATAACAATATTTGATAGAATTATACAAATATTAACTACAATTCTTATTTTAATTCATTATAGTAAATAAGTATTGTTATATTTATTAATTAATCAATTGTTTAAGTAAACTTTAATTACTTTATAATTTGCTTATTTGATTAGCTATTAAAAATATAATTATAATTATGCATAAAAGCAGTATTATTTATTATCTGATTTTTTTTATTAGAGGCTTACCCTTTTCTCCTCTTTTATTATATATTTTGATCAGGTCTTTATATATAATTTTAAATTTTTTACTCTTCTCTTTCTCTAAAAAATTATCTGATTTTTATTACATCTCTAATTATAATTATAAGCTAATTATATCAAGATTGAAATTTAAAAATATTCTAAGTATTATTCATTTTTTTTTTTTTTTTAACGATTCTTCCTTTATTATTTATTTAGGCATAGAATATAACACTATATATTTGTATAGTTTTAGCGGCTAAACTATATTATAATCTATATAAGCCAGTACTAATAAAGAATCACTCGATCTATTA